GTACGTGTACGTGTACGTGTACGTGTACGTGTACGTGTACGTGTACGTGTACGTGTACGTGTACGTGTACGTGTACGTGTACGTGTACGTGTACGTGTACGTGTACGTGTACGTGTACGTGTACGTGTACGTGTACGTGTACGTGTACGTGTACGTGTACGTGTACGTGTACGTGTACGTGTACGTGTACGTGTACGTGTACGTGTACGTGTACGTGTACGTGTACGTGTACGTGTACGTGTACGTGTACGTGTACGTGTACGTGTACGTGTACGTGTACGTGTACGTGTACGTGTACGTGTACGTGTACGTGTACGTGTACGTGTACGTGTACGTAATTTTTGAAATGTGCTCAGAAATGTTACTTTTATGAAATTTCTGCTTAATTTTTTTTTTAAATTGTACAAATTAGTGTTTATATCCAATTTTATCACTGCTTATGACGATCCGAATTAACTCTAAATAAAACAAAAATCACTGCTTTTATTTTATTTTTCCGCCTTTTAATTGACAATATTTTCAATGAAATATTCATATTTGTTTTATTGTTTATTGTTTTTAGTAATTATTTAAATTCAGCCGGTAAATAAAAGTACATTAAATTATAATTTTACTGCTAGAGTCACTAACAGCTAAATAATCACAGAGTCTTTGGCACAAATTGTTTTCTGTATAATCTGGAGATATAACGTGCAACCCAAACAAAATCTCAGCGTTTCAGAAAAAGTCTTTAAAACATATCTTAAATGTACTGTGGCTACAAAACATTTCAAACTTCACCTACGGTGCAGCATTTAAATGCATTTTACAGAATCACTGAATTCGAAATTTATGTTTTTTGAAGTTTGAAGTTTTTTGAAATTTGAAGTTTTCTGTACGATCTGAAGACATAACTCTTTTTTGAGACAAATCTAAAGTATTGGTTTACTGCATAAACTCTAGACATAGTGGGCAACACAACCAAAAAGCAAATAAGCTCCGAGGCTAAAGAAAAATGTTTTTAAGAAACCGTAATGTAGTCAGGCCAGAAAACATTTCATATTTAAGCCTGGCGTAAGACAGGCAATAATTCTTTTTAGTGCATTATTACATAAAAGCTTGTTATTAAAAAGTTTTATGCAATTTCTTCAACACTTCAAAACATTGACAAAATAGGGTTGCATGACTAAAAACTATTGAGTATCAAATGAACACGATAAAACACGTATAATAGTGCGGAATAGTAGTAGTCAGAAATTTTAAATTAATCATCTTTTTAAAAAGATGATAGAATAGATATTTATAAGGGCTACTTCTAACCAAAAAAATCAATTCCGATTTAAAGAGAATATGTTTAGTTCGCGTTCTTGTCATAGTTGCAAGGTGTTGTATTATAATGCATTAAGTCATTCCCAAGTCTTTGTTGTATAATCAATTTAAAAGTAGGAGCGAACTGTTTCGAGGTTTAAAATAATATTATAATTGCTAAAGTAATAGAGCAAATCATAAAAACCTTTATCTAAGATTTTAATGCGCTAAGTTTAATCTTTTTTTTACCTTCTATTAGAGTGGGTAAAATAGGGGATGAATCATTATGTGTGCTTGTGTCTATGTCAGTGTGTTTATTTTTCAATGTGTCCGTGTGTCTGTCTAAAAGTCTTTAATTTTTTTTTCCGATTTTGTTTTTAGAAATTTAAATTTACTTCCGTGTTCATTTGTTTCTTATTGAAACGCACCCGTGAAAACGAACATTTAACCCTGGACAGCATAGTGCTAGTAGTTTAATTGTTATAATTATTATTACTTGACTGTTAACAGCTAATAACAATAATATCAATAAGGTACACCAGGTTTTTGATACATCAAAAATAAAATCAATAACTATTAAATGAAGGCAATATTAATTATATATTTTTTTTATTTTTAATAATAAGCCCATTAAAATAAAGTTTGATTATGATGACAGTATTACATTTAGTATGCCAAATATTAATTATAAAGATACATACACATATGTTAATTAGATGGTAATAATATCAATTAAAAATGAATTAAGAATAATAAGAATGACATTTTCTATATACATGTTAGAATTGTTTTTTCATAATACAAATTGTGGAGCAACATAATCAATAGAACAACCCACTTTATGCGTTATATTTGATTTTAAATTGGCGTATGATAGCCTAGGCAGGAGCAACCTCTGGAATATCTTACAGTGTCATAGTTAACAGTACGCCTGTAGAAAAATAAAAGAAACAGGGAATGCAAATGAGAATGTGGAGGCGTTCAGCAGAAAAACAATTCTCTTTAAAAGAGGATTTTTTTAGAGACTGACAAGTAAACTGCCTAGAACCGGGAAGTTTATAAAGAGCTTTATGAAGCGGTTACCTTGAAAGCCCGTTTTCCAGTCTTGGGATGAGCCGTCGAGTAAATAATGGTTATCGTCTAATGTCGCTATGTTTAGTTCGCGTTCTTGACATAGTTTCAAGGTGTACTGTTACAGTTTATAAAGTCAATCCCAAGTTTTTGTTGTATAATTAATTAAAAGTAGGTGCGAACTATTTCACTGTTAAAAATAAAATTATAATTGCTCAAGTAATAGAGCAATCATATAAACCTTTATCTAAGATTTTAATGCACACAAAGTTTAATCTTTTTTTTTACCTTCTTTTAGAGTGGGTAAAATAGGGTATAAATTTTAATGTGTGTTTATGTCTGTGTCTGTTTATTTATCAAAGTGTCTCTGTGTCTGTCTGTAAGGCTTTAATTAGTTTGGTGCTCCGCATATTGATTATATTCAATAAAATATTCCGAAATTATTTTTTTTTTGAAATTTAAATTTACTTCCGTGTTCGTTTGTTTCTTATTGAAACACACCCGAGAAACGAACATTTAACCATGGACAGCACTGTGCTAGTAGCTTAAATGTTACAATTAATATTACTTGACTTTCAACAGCTTATAACAATAATGTCGCCAAGGTACATCAGAATACAGCAAAATAAATATATTGAATTAAGGCAATATTAATAACATTTTTTTTATTTTTAAAAATTTATTTAAAAATAAAGTATTATTATGATGACAGTATGGGACGGAGTTGTCTAGCAGTAGAGCTGGACTGCTAACCCGATAGTCTCGAGTTTGAATCCAGGTTCAACTCAGTAGACCGTCCCTGCGTCCACCCAACTCTGATGGGTACCTAACTCACGTTAGGGAAAGAAAAGGCGGCTGGGCGTAGTGCTGACCACACTATCTCTTCATATGCCGAGGTCACAGAAACAAGTAAACTCTACTTCACTGGCCCCATAAACCGTCAGGATTGAAAGGGAAACTTTACTTTTTTTTTATTATGATGACAGTACAACATTTAGTAGACCAATTATTAATTATACAGATACATACACATATGTTGATTAGATAATAATAATATCAATAAAAAGGAATTAAACATAATAACAATGGCATCATCTTTGTATATGTTAGAAAATTTTTTATGGTACAATTTGTAGAGCAAGATTATGAATAGAACAGTCAACTTTATACATTATATTTGATTTTAAATTGGCGTTTGATAGCCAAGGCAGGAGCAACATTTGGAATATCTTAAAGTGTCATGGTTAACGATACACTTGTCGGAAGAAAAGGAAACAGTGAAGGCCAAGGGAAATGTGGAGGTGCAATGCAGAAAAACAATTTTCTTTTAAAGACGATTATTTTGGGGGACTGCCAAGCAAACTGCCCAGAACCGGGAAGTTTATAAATACATTTATGAAGCGGTCTCTTTGTCTAAGGCACCAAAGCGAAAATCTGTCGATGATCGAGAAATAAATTTTAAAATTAAAAATCAAAATAATATTAACTAATACAAAATGTTCTTGATACTTGGGTATATTTTGTCGCTTAAATGTTAGTTATGTCTGATAATAATCAAAAATAATAGTAACTAATACAATTTTAATGATCATACAAGAATATTTTTTTCACTTCAATGTCGGTTATGTCAATCTATACATATCTATCTCTCTCTCTCTCCTCTCTCTCTCTCTCTCTCTCTCCTCTCCCTCTCTCTCTCCCTCTCTCTCTCCTCTCCCCCTCTCTCTCCCTCTCTCTCCCTCTCTCTCCCTCTCTCTCCCTCTCCCTCTCTCTCCCTCTCTCTCTCTCTCTCCCTCTCTCTCCCCTCTCTCTCTCTCTCTCTCTCTCTCTCTCTCTCCTCTCTCTCTCTATCTCTCTCTCTCTCTCTCTCTCTGTATGTAAAAATACATGTTTGTCGTTGACATACTTCTATGGATTTAAGTGTTAGACTATCTACCGTGCTCACAGTCTAAATTTATGAGTTAAAAAATTACTGTTGAAAGTGTTGGGAAATAATTTTCATTTTTCAAACTGATAGTAATAATTGTCGGCATGTTCATTAAACACAAGTTTTAAATATATATCATCTTTTACAAAATCTCTAATTATGTCTTTATTTAGTCCTATAGCGCTTACTTCCCTTTGATAAATTAGGCAAAACACAATTACTTCCCTTTATAAAACCATTGCATTAGTTGAAAAGAATTTACTTTTTAATACTTTATTTTGGTGTTTGGGAAAAAAATAATTACTTGTATATATATATATAAATATATATATATATATTATATATATATATATAATATAAATATATATATATATATATATATATATATATATATATATATATATAAGTAAATACAATGACAAGTATGAAAATATATATTCGTAGTTGCTTGGCATAGTGCTGACAACGCTATCCACTCATATGCCGACGTCTATGAAGGTGAAAAACTCTTCTTCGACTTACCCATGTGTTCTAGACACGATCGAGAAATGATGATGATATTTATTGTTACGGTGATAAAAAAATCGATTATATGTACTGCCATTTACATTAAAATCTTTTCAATATTATACAATATGTCCAATAAAAAATCGAAATTGCTTTTTTTATGTGTTTTAAAAGTAACTTTGTCGTCTATTTTCAAAGATTTAGTTATTTAAACAACGAGCCTATGACCAATAGGCCAGTAGTAGAGTAAAGGTCTAGGACAGGGTAAAGTCTCGTACTGTACTGGGTCAAAACAAAGAGGTATTTTAGACCAGTCTTCTACAGGTAATCTTGATATTGGTTCTTGAAACATCAACGTTCTCTGTAATTTTGGTGGGAGTTTGGTCTGTTTTAGTTTTTCTTCTCTCATAGGCCCAGTCCCAAGTAAGGTGGAGACTTCAATAAAAGCTAGTTTGACCAGTGGCCAGGGTTCTTGGATTGCTGATTGTAATTCAGGTGGAATATTCAGCGTTGTGGCATTGACCGAGTTGTCTTCTTTAAACTTCCGAAACCTTTGTAGATCACACTTGAATATCATTCCGGTGGCGAAAAGATATTTGACAAATACTAAACTGTTAAAAGACATAAAGTGAGGAAGTTGTAGGGCTTTATCTATTCCCCAGAGGTTAAATGCCTTTAACAAAATGCATCCATTCACAAGACAAAACTGAAACAATCTTTGTGACAAGTCACTGGTCGTTCTCCCGTATTCTTTGTGCGTCTCAATTTCGTTACTCATTTCTTTGACTAAATACCGGTACTCATTATCAACTGCCATATCTGCGCCTAGTTGTAGTATATCTAAAATACAATTCAATTTGTTTCTATAAAAGTTTAATAAAATATGAACGAGAACAGATTTGTTTTCACTGTCCACCTGATTCAAATCAGCCCCATATGCTGCGAATTTGGGTAAAACTTCCAAAATGTATTCGGTGTAATCTTTTTTTGCCGCTATCATACAAGCGGTCTGGCCTGTGGCATCACTTGCATTAACATCTGCCCCATGTTCTAAAAGAATCGTTACAAAATTAATGATACATTTCCTAGTAAGCATTGTGTTGTGGGCATAATTATCAATGGCAAGCATCAATGCATTTTTTCCACAATTATCTTGCATGTTTACATAACCACCTTGTTCTACAAAAAATTGAGCCAATGAGTATTGACCAGCTGCTGTGGCATACATTAGTGCTGTCTGTCCATTGTCTGTACGAATGTTCATATCTGCTCCCATTTCTAATAATACACGTGCAACATTCACATTACAGGCGTTGTGTAAAGCTGTTTCTCCTAATTTATTTTGTAAGTTTATGTCAGTTCCAGCATCAATCAAGTAATTAATCATATTATCGTTGGTCAAAAGGAAAAGTGGTGTGTTTTCTTGGTTGTTTTTTAAGTTTAGATTTGGAGGAATTTCTGGAGGAAATTCTGAAATAATGTCCGTAGTACGCCACATTTTGTTCCCATTAAGAGTCGTATGATGCAAGGCTGTATCCTTGTTTTCATCCACCAACGTCACATCAGCTCCAACAGTGAGAAGGTACTTGACCACCTCGACATTGCCAACACTACAAGCTATCATTAACGGCGTCTCACCTTTTGCGTTCTGGACATTCACATCAGCTTTGTGGGCTACAAACAACTCAAAGATATTCGCGCTACAAAACTTAGCCGCTTCGTGTTGACAAGAGTTACCTTCATCATCAGTAGCTGAAATATTGGCGCCATTGTTTAAAAATAATTCAGCTACATGTTTTATTTCTTTTCTCCCATTTGTTAGTTGATCCAAGTATATTAGTCTTCCCTTGGATATATAAGCACCAATAGCCTGTTTTATGGCTATCGTTAGTGGTGGTGTCTTTTTAGTATCTAGGATATTAGTAGCAGCTCCATTTTCTAATAAAGCAATTGTTACATCAACGTTTCCATGTTCAAGTGCAACCATTAGCTTGGAATATTTATTGATATCTAAAATTGCGCCATGTTGGATCAATAAATGTATAAGCTCTGAGTCACTACTTAAAACAGCGGCAATTATTGGAGTGCATAGAGACTCGCATATCACATTTACATCAGCTCCACATTCTATTAAATATTTAGATACTTCTTTGTGTTCGAATAGCAAAGCAGTAAATAATGGTGAATTTCCGTAATTGTCAACAGCATTTATATTTGCACCAAACTGACACAAAGATTGCAAGATCACCAAATTACCCGCAGTAGCTGTGATATGTAAAGGTGTTCTACCATGTTTATCCAATGCTTGAATATTAGCTCCAGATTTTAGCAGTAAGTTCACTATTTTGTTGCTGTCGTATCTCGAATTCCCAGATAAATGTAGCGGTGTGTTTTTACCACTTGAACATTTTTCTACAATGTTTTGCATTTTGCTTAAAATCGGATTCATACAAAATGCATGGGTTTTGACTTGACGATTAGAGGCGATATTAACATCAGCTCCAGCTTGTATCAACTTGGCTACCATATGTACGTTACTGCTCAAGACCGCAAAAGCTAATGTTGTCGTCTGTTTTAGGTCAACACAGTTGACCACAGGCTTAAGGTCAAGCAAAAGATCAAAGACTTGTTCGTTATTTGTTTTAGCTGCCCACATCAAGGCTGTCATTCCGTCTATGTCAACATTTGAAATATCAGCTCCATGTTCTAGCAAAAATTGTGTGGTGTCAAAGTGACTTTCCGTAGTAGAATTTATATAAGGTGCACTGTAATGGAAACACCCTATTAAGTTATACAGAGGTTTTTGTTGATTTTCTCCCCTAATAGAGTTTATGAGAGGCGTTCGTTGATAAGTGTCTACACAATTTATATCCGAGCCTGCATTGATAAGAAGCTTCATCATGTCCATATTGGATATCTTACATGCTATGGAGAAAGGTGTCGAACTTTCATTATTAAAAACCTCAACTTTAGCTCCAGCGTTCACAAGTAATTTTACTATTTCCAGACTATTTGACCTGCAGGCATAATGAAGAGCTGTACTCTGAGAATCATCTGCTTGATCAATATTTACTTTCTTTTCTAAAAAAAATTTGACAATCTCCATTTGTTTTGATTGAACAGCTTTTATAAATAATGTACTACCGTCTTCATCAATACAGTTAACATCCGCGCCAGAGGATACAAGCAGTTTAACGATTTCTATGTGAGAGCAACTAACCGCTTCCATTTTAGCCCCAACCAACAGTGCATTTATTAGCTCAACTCTATCACCACTACAAGCGACTTGAAGAGCTTTATTTTTGGAGAAATTTACAATATCAAGATCAGAGTATTTTTCAATTAGAATTTTCACAATTGATGTTTCTTGCAACTGTACAGTGTGAGAAAGCATTGTCTCTAAATTTCCAACTGCTCCACTAGGATTGTTTTGAGGTGAAATAGGGAGCATGTAAATGAGAGCTTCCTTTCTCGATAAATTATCACAATTTAAATATTTTAAATTGATGGAAACCCCCGCGTTTATTAATTCATTGAGTAAATCAATACGTTCATTAATAAAAGCCACACAAAATGAGGTCCCATGTTGGTCCGAGTCATGTTTAAGATATTTCTGCATAGCTTTCTCGCCTTCGGCAACAGCAGCCATAAAGCGTTCATTCTTTGCCATCTCTAAAGCCTCCAATCCTCGATCACAATTAAAGAAACATCCAGCCCTGATCAGCTCTTTTACACATTCTATGTCGCGATTTCTCATGGCTATGGTTAGTGCTGTGACACGACTGAGAGGTCGTCTATCACATGGACAGACATACACACGTGTTATAAGTTCATGTACATTAGAGTCAACACCAGCTTTAAGTAGCCTTTTTAATGCCAGCAAATTCTTGTCTTCAGCAGCTAACAAAAGCGCAGCTCGGCCACTTGAGGCTGTGTCCAGGCCTTCGATGTTCCCCAATTTAGCAGCCCTGTAAATTTCTTGCGCAGTTCCATTTGACCAGTTAGACATGTTTGCAGTTCAGTATAAAGTTGACAAGCTAAGAACCTGTGCTGTAACTCTGAAGTGGAGAAAATATTTAAATTGTTTGATTAAAGTGTGACAGAAAAAAATAGTGCGGATAACAAAGAACCACGGAAAGTGTTAATGCTTTTTAAATTACTCTTATCTAAAGTTTTTTTTTATGTTGTAAACACGGACATGACTTAGGTTGGATAGTTTTTATTAAAAATATTTTCTAAATGTGTTGTATTTTACAGTGTAAATCTATCCAATAGAATAGCAACACTTTCTTAATGAGTCTTTCAATATATGGCATTGCATAGTAGAATATCGTATATAAACATGTTATCAGACTCTATATAGTATCCAGAGCACCAAGTCGCCACATAAATTATTGGTATTTCTTATTAGCTTCTACTTTTTACATTAGAATGAAGATGTACATAACGTCTGTAGTATTTTCAAAATAAAACAACGAGTCTGCATCGAGAACTCCTAACAACAATGTGCCTGCTTTTCAAAAACTTCCTACATAATAGTCTTATGGTTCATTGTAGTAAACGAGTGAATGAGATAAATGGGGGTGAATGTTGTTGTTACTTGGTACCCTATCCCGTTCGTCCTTGTTCAGTTCTCGTGCTGTGAGTTATGATAGTCTGTTTTGTACCAGTTTATGAAAGGGTATATAAAGTGTGTGAAAACGTGTGTGATGGCTTCAGTTTTGTCCAGATCTCCAAGGTTAGTACAGGTTAGTTTTATACTGTATTATAGTTTTACGAGCTTGTGTATTTTGTGTTTAGAATAGACTTTGTTAGGTGTAGATAGTGTAGATACTATTAAATTCTTTAAGTTTCAACGAGCTTTTGTTTTATTCAGTCTTGTTTTGTAACCCGTTTGTAGTAGTTTGTCTTATATGTTGCGCTACGCATCTGATCACCCGAAAGGTGTGTCTGTGTGTTCACAGCATTCATCCAAAGAGCACAAGAATGAGTTGATCTGTTCGATTCACGTACAAAAACCAAGCATTAATCAAATTTTGTGAGTTATCATCATCATCTTTTCCCGTTCGTGCCCAAGACACATGGGGACAGAGGAAGTAGAGTTCATCGGCTTCAGAGACCTCGGCATATGAAGAGATAATGTGGTCAGCACAACGCCCAGCCGCTTTTATCTTCCCTGACGTGAGTAAGATACCCATCAGAACTGGATGGACTCGGTTACACTTTATTGACGTAAACCCGGATTCAAATCGAGAATATAGGAATAGCAGTCTAGCTCTCTGTCACTAGGCCACGTCGTCCCACTATGCTTTATCCTTTCACGCAGATTGATTCCCAAAAGTCGTACGAGCTAGCTAGTACTTTTGACGTCGACACACGTAAGAACACAAAAAAAGAAGATCGACAGAATCTTCTAGAGAAAGATATCAACTATATTTTTACTGACAGCGCGTCTAGAGCCTTTCTATAAGCAGGAAAGTAATGTTTTATTCTGTTCTAATATTACAGAACTCATAAATGCCTTATAGTTAATACAATATTGTATACTCTTCGCACCAGGGTCCAAATGCTATGCTTTATCTTACTGACAATCGTCTTACCACTATTGTGCTACTGCTGTTGACGTGAAATAGAAATGCAATAGCTAAAAGCAGCTACATAATGTCAACACGTATAACAAGTTCAGCAAAAGAAGATGGATTAGGCTTGCTACAAATGATCGGTGCTTATCTAGTTGGTTGTTAGAGAGTTTATAATGGTAAGTCAGTTGGTGAGAATAAGCTGGTTGGTGGTGGTCAGACAGTTGATGGTCAGACAGATAATAGTGAAACAGATAATGGTCAGACAGTTAATGGTCAGACAGATAATGGTCAGACAGTTAATGGTCAGACAGATAATGGTCAGACAGTTAATGGTCAGACAGATAATGGTCAGACAGTTAATGGTCAGATAGTTGATGGTCAAACAGATAATAGTAAAACAGATAATGGTCAGAAAGATAATGGTCAGACAGATAATGGTCAAACAGATAATGGTCAAACAGAAAATGGTCAGAAAGGTAAGGGTTTAGACAGATAATGGTCAGACAGATAATGGTCAAACAGATAATGCTCAGAAAGATAATAGACCGCTATGGTCAGACATTTGTTGGTCAGACAGATACTAGTCAAACAGATAATGGTGAGAAAGATAAAGTTCAGACAGATAATGGTCAGACAGATAATGGTCAGACAGATAATGGTGAGAAAGATAAAGTTCAGACAGATAATGGTCAGACAGATAATGGTCAAACAGATAATGGTCAGAAAGATAATGGTCAGACAGATAATGGTCAGACAGATAATGGTCAAACAGATAATGGTCAAACAGAAAATGATCAGAAAGATAAGGGTTTAGACAGATAATGGTCAGAAAGATAATGGTCAGAAAGATAATTGTAGTAGGTAGGGGTCCTACTATTTACTAAGTTTCGCTGTCTGTCTATCTATCTATCTATCTGTCTGACAAGAGAAAACACAAGCAAATTAAAAACATGCATAGTTAAACGAAAACGAGCATATTGGAGCATATTATAGAAATTAGTCTAAAGACGGAGAGTGCACACACTAATATGACGTCATTGATTCTCGAGTAAACATTGAATTAAAAAGCCAATTTTGTCTAATCTAAAAAGTGGTTTGCTTGAAGAGTTTATTTCATGAATTTCTTCGGGTAGGGGCGAAGCACATTTAATCCCCCCCCCCCCCCCCCACCCTGGTAGAACGTCTAATCCCTCCCCCCAAAAGAGTTTCTTTCATGCAATTCTTCGGGTAGTGACTAAGCCCAACACCAGTGTTTCTTTCAGACTTTTTCCTCCCCGGAGGGGGGAACTTTTTCTAATCTAAAAAGTGTTTAGCGTGCAGTTTTTTCATGCATCTCTTCCGGTAGGGGCGAAGCCCCGCCCTGGTTCTTCCTTTAGTTTGTATGAACTACAAATGCGACCAGTGTTTCTTTCAGACGTTTTCCTCCCCGGAGAGGGGTGGGGGTACTTGAAAATTTTCGGGGGCGGGGGCGGACACTGGAAAAAGTATATAATTATATTTCGTGAATGGGACGGTAGACATGTTTTGGGGTGTGTGTGTGGGGGGGGCGGAGCGACTTTTGTCTTGAATGAGGTTAGGTGTATGGTTTAGGGATATGCCTATGACTATATTTTGCATAAATTAAAGTACCGATTCTGGATAAAAATCCGTTTTCAATGTCATTTTTCGTTTCCGGTTAAATTTAATTAAGTTGGTGATTTTGGTTTTGGTTTTAGTTTAGAGAAAATAGACAGCACTATCAACCTAGCGCCCGTTGTATCTTTCCTCAACGGGCCATTTTTCTCGTTTACTATAATACCATGTTTTTTGGTGCGCACCTCTATGGCATTAAAAAATATAAATAATGAAAACAAATGCATAAAAACGTTTTAATAAGAAGCTTTTTTTATATAATAATGCCCTTAAAAGGAGAAAATAAAATATTTTCTTTAAAATATTATAAAACACTACTATTTAAAAAACTATAAAGAAAAACGTTGGTTCCTATTAGTTAAGGTATCCAATAGTTAATATTGTGACGAACGCTTTTCTTTATAGTCACTTAAATATTAGAGTATTATTAGACATTTGAAGAAAAGCATTGCAGTGTCAAGTTCATTTAGAACAAATGACTAAAAAGTGAAAAATATAAAAAAATAAAAACATTTAAATGTAATAAAAGAGGAAAATAAAAGACAACAATGGTTAATTTAATAAGACATTTAGTCGCTAAAATATGTAAGATATCAAAAACCAAACAATTGTTTTTATTTAAAGAAAGCAAGTTAGTCACATTTTCTCATTTCAAGTGCATTCAAAAGCTGTTATTATGAAGAATTCGTTATTTATTTTGAGGATCCAATTGGTGGGGGAGGTGGGAAGGGGTTTACACATCTCTCCACCAGCTACGCAAAAACAATTCTTATTTTTTTTACCTAAGGTAATTAAAAAGGTAATTACAAGTTCTTTATTTCTGGGTGGTTTAACATACACAAGTGACATTATAAGGTAAGTCAATGGTGAGAATGCGGAAATCATTACAGATATATATATATATATATATATATATATATATATATATATATATATATATATATATATATATATATATATATTGTTATCTAAATCTTACTATATATAGTATATATATATATATATATATATATATATATATATATATATATATATATATATATATATATATATATATATATATATGTACGTATATATATATATATATATATATATATATATATACATATATTAATATATTTTTATATATAAGCTTACAGATATTTTTTTGAAAGGGTTAACAGATAACAATGACAGTAGTAAATTTTAGCAAGATGGCGCCCGTCACATATTCGATTTTGCCACGTACACAAATAACATACTTTCATTTGTGAAGCTAGTGACATATTGAGTAGCCCTACTATTTAAATTATATTCAATAATCAACAAATACTTACATTATTTCTTTTAATTTAGTTTGTTGTACATTGTTTATGCTCTAAAGCTGTTAACTTAAGATTGGCGTTTAGGCTACATGTCCAACATAATAACTGAATTCTAGGAAGTATAAAGTAATTCCTGGAATTCCCGAAACAGGTGTGTCTATTTAACTAAAAACCATCCACTTAAGCTCAAACACGGTTTATTTAAGTGCTTGTTATCAACACGAATTCATGTTTTTAAAAAACTTAAATTAACTTTTGTTAAGAACAAAAATTGGTTAAGAAAAAAATAACATATATATATATATATATATATATATATATATATATATATATATATATATATATGCGTGTGTGTGTGTGTGTACGTGTACATTTACGTGTACGTGTACGTGTACGTATACGTGTACGTGTACGTGTACGTGTACGTGTACGTGTACGTGTACGTGTACGTGTACGTGTACGTGTACGTGTACGTGTACGTGTACGTGTACGTGTACGTGTACGTGTACGTGTACGTGTACGTGTACGTGTACGTGTACGTGTACGTGTACGTGTACGTGTACGTGTACGTGTACGTGTACGTGTACGTGTCCATTGTATTTGTTTGTCCATATATTTTTTTTCCATGACATCATTCGACCTGAGATCATTTATCCGCAGATATTTTGTCTGGGGTATTGTGTCTCAGATTATTTGTCCAGTTTGATGTCGTTGCTAGTGTTGTCGGGTGTGTGATGTTGTGGTTTATATTATTAGGTTGTGATGTTGTGGTTCATGTTGTTAGGTGGTTGTTGTTGGGTGTGTGATGTTGTGGTTCATATTATTAGGTGTGTGATATTGTGGTTCATGTTGTTAGGTTGGTGTTGTTAGGTGTGTGATGTTGTGGTTCATATTATTAGGTGTGTGATGTTGTGGTTCATGTTGTTAGGTTGGTGTTGTTGGGTGTGTTGTGTTGTGGTTCATGTTATTAGGTGTGTGATGTTGATGGGTGTGTGATGTAATGGTTCGTGTGTTTGACTGTGTGATGTTGCAATGCATGTTGTTGTGTGTGTGATGTAGTTGTTCAAGATGTTGGGTGTTAAATTTGAACATAATTTACTACGTTGTATAATACGTTACAGCAAAAATAATTTATTAAATATAGAATTTTGTAACTAAATATTAATCTAATTTTTGATCAATGATAACAAAATTAGTCATAATGATAGTTTAAACACTAACTGTTCAAAATAATAATTATAAATATAAATAAACATATTCTATTAAACATTTAGACTAAGAAGGTTTAAGTATAATAATGACAATGGAAATAATGATTACTTAACAGGAAGACATTTTTATAATAATACTACAAATAATAATAACTAACATGTTTGTTGTATCTTTTGAACGTTGGTTATATCTGTGTTCGCCTAGGCACCTCCATTAATACTTATAAATATAGGCCCTATATGGCTTAAGTGATAGAAAAATGATTAAATTGACTGAGAGCTCATTTAAAGATGATTTCAAAAGCATTTAGTTTAGTCCTTCCAAATCTTAATTTATTTTGTGCTAGAAGTAGCTCTAACAAATAATTGTCTTAGCATCTTGTTTTTTAGAATTATCTATTTATAACACTTCGTTAACCAGTTTGTGACCAACAGGCCAGTAGTAGAGTAAAGGTCTAGGACAGGGTAAAGTCTCGTACTGTACTGGGTCAAAACAAAGAGGTATTTTAGACCAGTCTTCTACGGGTAATCTTGATATTGGTTCTTGAAACATCAACGTTCGCTGTAATCTTGGTGGGAGTTTGGTCTGTTTTAGTTTTTCTTCTCTCATAAGTCCAAACCCAAGTAAGGTGGAGACTTCAATAAAAGCTAGTTTGACCAGCGGCCAGGGTTCCTTTACTGCCGATATTAATTCTGCTTTAAATGTTGACGAAGAATTTCTAAAATAGAAAGGGAGATTTTCTTTATTCCTACGAAGCAAATGTAAGTCAAACTTGACTAACATACCGATGGCGAATATGTATCTAACAAATTCTAAATTGTTTTCGAAAATTGAATAATAAAAATGAGATTTTTGACATCTTTTGATTGCCTGATTTAAAAAGCAACCATGTAAGAGAAAAAAACTGAAACATTCATTGGAAACAGTCAGGATTATGAAATCGTATTTCATATTCTCTTTTTTCGTATTTTGTTTTCATAGATTTGACTAAATGTATGTACTAGTAATCAACAACCGTGTATGTTCCTAGTTCTAATAGTTCCGAAATATAATGTTCTTTTTTTTTTTTTTTTAATAAAACATGAAGAACAACAGATTTGTTTTCTTTATCTAGTTTGTTTTTTAATAAAACATGAAGAACAACAGATTTGTTTTCTTTATCTAGTTTGTTTAGATCAACATTAGATCTTTTGAGTGAAGGTAAAATTTCAAAACGATCGTTGAGGACGGCGATCATACAGGCAGTCTGGCCATGTGTGTTACTTGCATTAACATCAGCCCCAACAGAGAGAAGGTACCTGACAGCCTCAACATTACCACCACGACACGCCATCATTAACGGCGTCTCACCTTTTACGTTCTGGACATTAACATCCGCTTTGTGGGCTACAAACAGCCACAAAAAAACCCTGCTTGCAAATCTCAACAGCTAAGTGTAAGCAAGTGTTGCCTTCATCATCAGTAGCTGAAACATTTGCTCCATTTCTCAAAAATGACTGGGTTAAATGCTTGATTTTGTTTTCCCATACTTTTATTTTATCATAATAAGACAAGGTTCTCGAAGGTGTACTAACAATATAATCATTTATATGACTTGCAAGTTTCATACATATCATTAGTGCCGGTGTATTGTTTTTATCGCGTAGATTCGGATTAGCTCCAATTTCTAGTATAGCAATAGCCATTTCAATATTTCCATACCCAAGAGCAACCATTAGCTCCGAGTCTTTGCCTTTGTCAACAACAGCGCCATGCTGAATCAACAACTTTACAAGCTCCGTGTCGTTATACAAAACAGCAACAAATAAAGGCGAGCATAGAGAATCACATATCAAGTTTACATCAGCTCCACATTCAAGCAAATATTTGGTTAACTCTTTATGTTTGTAAAATACTAAAATAAACAATGTGGAATTTCCAACATGGTCTATTGTATCTACTTTTGCACCAAAACGGCGTAATCGTTTCACGATCTCCAAATTTCCCAAAGCAGCTGCGATGTACAAGGATGTTCTGCCATATTCATCTACTAATTTAAAAAATTAACCGGGAGTGATCTCCCCTAAACTTTCTCGAATATTCTTATATAAAATAACAGGGGATGGAAACTCGGGCTATAGACATGATTTTTAATCCATTTTAAATACTTAAAGTTTTAAAAATAGAATAAAATCTCGTAGACAAATTAATTGCACACCAAGTGAACGCAAATAAAAAAAGCGCATAATAGTGCGCAATATTATTAGTACTTTTAAAATTTACATTAGTTTTTTGAGAAATCGGAAGTAGCGTAAATTACTACTTCCAGTCAACGGAAATTAGTCAAAATTTAACAGAAGGTAGAGAATTAGATCTTTTACTTACATGTGAAATTTCATTTATCTATCTGAAATAGTACTCAAGTTATAGGCTTTTAAAAAATTCAAAGTAGGAAAAGTACCACTTCCGGTTATCGGAAATCGCTCAAAAGTTGATACGGATCTACGATTTTGATAAAATACTTATATATGAAATTTCATCAACCTAGCTGTAACGGTACTCAAGTTATCGTGTTTACACACGGACAGACACACACACAGACACACACACACACAGACATACGGACAAGATTGCAAAATTATGTTTTTCCGTATCAGTGAGGTGTAAAACGTCGAGATTTGTAAAAATCTCGATTTTTTTTTTTGCACGATTACAATACTTTCTCTATACTACGTATATACGAGAAAGTAAAAACTCCAGCTTCTAATAATAACTTCACTATATGGTTGCTGCTATTTCTTCGACATGTTGATGTAGCTAAATATATTGGTGTACTTTTACTTTTAGAAGTTTTATTTTTTAAATTTTCTAGTATTTCTTTTAAACGTTTAAAAACTTTACAGATACAAATTGCATTGCATTCTACTTGGCAGTTAGATGCGATGTTAACATCAGCTCCAGCTTGTATCAAATTGGCTAACATCTGTACGTTACGGCTCATCACTGCATGAGCAAAGGCTGTTGTCTGTTGGAGGTCAACACAGTTGACCTCAGGCTTAAGGTCAAGTAGAAGCTTAAGGACATTCCCGTTATTTGTTTTAGCTGCCCACATCAAGGCTGTCATTCCGTCTTTGTTCACCTTTGAAATATCAGCTCCATGTTCTAACAAAAATTGTGTTGTTTCAAAGTTTACTTCCCTAATAGAATTTATAAACGGTGTTCGGTAATGGGTATCTACACAATTTATATCTGAGCCTGCATCTTCAAATAATTTCTATAAAGTGTAATTCTGAAGACAGTACAACATTTAGCTTACTAAATAATTATTATAAAGATACATACACATATGTTAAATTGATAATAATATCAATAAAAAATTAATTAAGAATAATAAAAATAGCATAATTTATATACATGTGAGAATTTTTTTTATGGTAAAATTTGTAGAGCAACATTATGAATATAAACAGTAAACTTTATGCATTATATTTGATTTTAAATTGGCGTTTGATAGCCTAGGCAGGAGGAACCTCTGGAATATCTTACAATGTCACGGTTAACAGTACGCCTGCAGGAAGAAAATGAAACAGGAATGTCCAAGGTAAATGTGGAGGAGCACTGAAGAAAAACAATTTTCTTTAAAAGTGGATTATTTTGGGGAACTGCCAAGCAAACTGCCTAGAACCGGTAAGTTTATAAAGAGCTTTATGAGGCGGTCTCTTTGTCTAATGCACAAAAGGGAAAATATGGCGATGATCGAGAAATCATTTTTAAAATAAAAATGAAAATAATAGTAATAAAGTTTTCATTATAATACAAGTATATTTTGTCACTTCAATGTTGGTTATGTTTGTTTATATAAGTAAATGCAGTGAAAAGTATGAATACATATATTTGTAGTTGCTTGTCATAGTGTTAACTACACTATCCATTCATATTCCAAGGTCTATGAAGCAGATAAACTCTACTTCGTCTGCACCATGGGTCTTAGGCATGAACAGGAAATGATTATATTCGTAGTTACTTTGAATTATAATAGAGCAATTTTAAATTTACTACCGTCTTCATTCGTTTCTTATTGAAACGCACTCGAGAAACGAACATTTAACCCTGGACAGCACTGTGTAAGTAGTTTAATTGTTATAATTAATATCATTTGACCGTTAACAGCTAATAACAATAATATCAATAAGGTACATCAGGTTTTTGATACATCAAAAATAAAATCAATAACTATTAAATGAAGGCAATATTAATTATATTTTTTTATTTTTAATAATAAGCCCATTAAAATAAAGTTTGATTATGATGACACTATAACATTTAGTATACCAAATATTAATTATAAAGATACATACACATGTTAATTAGATGATAATAAAATCAATTAAAAATGAATTAAGAATAATAAGAATGACATTATCTATATACATGTTAGAATTGTTTTTTCATGGTACAAAATGTGGAGCAACATTATCAATAGAACAACCCACTTTATGCGTTATATTTGATTTTAAATTGGCGTTTGATAGCCTAGGCAGGAGCAACCTCTGGAATATCTTACAGTGTCATAACAGTACACCTGTAGAAAAATAAATGTTGCTCCTGCCTTTGCTATCAATTAATTTATTGCTTTTCATAAAGAAAAGAGGTGTTTTTCCTTCGTTGTTTTGATCGTTAACGTTAGCGCCATGTTTTATTAAAGCATTAAAAGCATAATCGAAATCGAACTTTACAGCCAAATGTAAGGCTGTATTACCTTGTCCATTACGGGCGTGGATGTTTGCATTGTTTTCAATTAAAAGTGTAATAATACATGGAAGCGTGTCTGAAATCACGTTCCTTAAGCCCCGCATTGCATATCCTTTGAAGATCGTGTGGTGCAAGGCTGTATCATTGTTTTCATCCGACAACATTACATTAGCTCCAACAGAGAGAAGATAACTGACCGCCTCAACATCACCACAATGACGACACGCCATCATTAACGGCGTCTCACCTTTTGCGTTCTGTACATTGACGTCAGCTTTGTGGGCTACAAACAGCTCCAAGACATCTACGCAACAAACCTCAGCCGCTATGTGTAGACAAGTGTTACCTTCATCGTCAGTGGCTGAAATATTGGCGCCATTGTTTAAAAATGATTCAGCTACAAGCTTTATTTCATTTCTCCACAAATTTTTTTTGTCATCGGTTGTTGTTGTTCCTACGGGTTGATCATCGGTTTTTGTTGTCCCTAAAGGTTGATACTCATATGTTGCTTTCAGAACGGGTGTAGCAAATTTGTAACGACCAATATACTGTTTTATGGCTATCGTTAGTGCAGGTGTCTTTTTAATGTCTCTAGTATTAGCATCTGCTCCATTTTCTAATAAAGCAATTGTCACATCAACGTTTCTATGTTCAAGTGCAACCATTAGCTTGGAATACTCGTCCATATCTAAAATCGCGCCATGTTGTATCAACAACTTTACAAGCTCCGTGTCGTTATATAAAACAGCAACAAATAAAGGCGAGCATAGAGAATCACATGTCAAGTTTACGTCAGCTCCACACTCTAGCAAATATTTAGATGCATCTTTGTTTTTAAACATCAAGGCACGAAACAACGGTGAACTTCCGCAATTGTCCACAGCATTTATATTTGCACCAAATCGGCACAAAGATTGCAAAATCTCCAAATAACTCTTAGCAGCTGCGATATGTAAAGGTGTTCTGCCGTGTTCATTACTGCATGAACATTAGCTCCAGAGTTTAACAGCAAATTCACTATTTCATTGCTGCTGTTACTCGATCTCCCAGCTAAATGCAGTGGTGTGTTTTTACTACTTGAACTTTTTTTTTCTAATTTTCGCATTTTGCTCGATTTAAAAAGATTATATTTACCTATAAAAGAATCTTTATGAATATCTACTTGACAATTAGTGGCGATGTTAACATCAGCTCCAGCTTGTATCAACTTGGCTACCATCTGAACGTTACGGCTCATCACCGCATAAGCTAATGCTGTCATCTGTTGTAGGTCAACACAATTAACTTCAGGTTTAAGCTCAATCAAAAGATCAAAGACTTGTTCGTTATATGTTTTAGCTGCCCACGTCAAGGCTGTCATTTCGTCTTTGTCCACATTTGAATAATAAGCTTCATGTTCTTGCAAAAATTGTGTGAGATCGAAGTGACTTTCCGTAGTAGGCACTGTAGGTGCACTGTAATGAAAACACCCTATTAAGTTATTCAAAGAATCTTGTTGATTTTCTTCCCTAATAGAGTTTATGAGAGGCGTTCGTTCATAAGTATCTACACAATTTATATCCGAGCCTGCATTGATAAGAAGCTTCATCATGTCTATATTGGATATCTTACATGCTATGGAGAAAGGTGTCAAACTTTCCTTATTATAGACCTCAACTTTAGCTACAGCGTTCACAAGTAATTTTACTATTTCTAGACTATTTGACATGCAGGCATAATGAAGAGCTGTACTCTGAGAATCGTCTACTTGGTCGATATTTACTTTCTTTTCTAAAAGAAAGTTGACGATCTCCATTTGTTTTGATTGAACAGCTTTTATAAGTAATGTACTGCCGTCTTTATCAACCAAGTTTACTTCCGCACCGGATGATACAAGCAGTTGAACTATTTCTATGTAAGAACAACTAAACTCTTGCATTTTAGCCCCAACCAACAGTGCGTTTATTAACTCAACGCTATCGTTACTACAAGCGACCTGAAGAGCTTTATTTTTTAAGAAATTCACAATATCAAGATCAGAGTATTTTTTAATTAGAATTTTTACAATCGATATCTCCTGCAATTGTACTGCTTGTGTAAGAAGTGCCTCTAAATTTTCAACTATTCCCCTAGGATTGTTTTGAGGTGAAAGAGGTAGCATGTTAATCAGAGCTTCCTTTTGCGTTGCAGCTACACAAGCTAATGATTTTAAATTGAAAGGAACTCCCCCGTCTATTAAATCTTGGAGCAAATCAATACGTCTATTAATAAAAGCCACATAAAAGGCGGTCCCTGGTTGGTCAGAGTCATCTTTAAGATATTGTTTCATTACTTTCTCTCCTTCAGCAATAGCAGCCATGAATTGATAATCCTTTGCCATCTCTAAAGCATCCAATCCTCGATAACAATCAAAGAAACTTCCAGCCCTTATCAGTTCTTTTACACATTCTATGTCGAAATTTTTCATAGCTAATGTTAGTGCTGTGACACGGATGATAGGAACTCCTGTCCAGGGACAGTCAAAACGTAAACGTTTATGTACATTAGGGTCAGCACCCGCTTTTAGTAGCCTTGTTAATGCTAACAAATTCTCGGCTTCAGCAGCTAACATTAGCGCTGTCTGGCCAATCCAATTTGTGCAATTAATTGAAGCAGTGTCCAAGTTTTCAATATTTCCCAATTTAGCAGCTGTAAAAATGTCTTCTGCAGTTACAGTTGTCCCGTAAGACATGTTTGTATGTTTGTGAAAATTTGAAAAAATAAAAAACTTATTTTCTGTGATGTAACCCTGAAATGCAAAAAGAAACAATTAAATAGTTTCGTTAAAGTTTTACAGAAAAAAAATCATCAGTTTTGATAACATTTCACCACGTAATTTTTTCCTGATTTTATACTACTCTTATCTCAAGTTTTTTATGTGGTAAACACGGACATGACTATGGTAGGATTGTTTTTATTGAATATATTTTGGAAATGTATTGTATGTTACCTTATACATTAATCCAATAGTACAGCAACACTTTCTTAAAGAGTCTTTGAAATATATATCTATATCTATATATATATATATATATATATATATATATATATATATATATATATATATATATATATTACATTATTACATGATATGGACTTGCTTTTCTGCGCTAGGTTCTTTTCTTTGTATTTTTAATAAAGATGCACACAAAGTCTGGAATATTTTTGAAAACAAAATAGCCCTCCGCACCGAGAACAACCCATCATAGGTGATTGCTATTCAAGAACCTGCAGCCGAATAGCTCCCTGGTTCATCTAATGTGCCAAAGAGCGAGTTAACCTGTTCGATGAACGTACAACAACCACGCACTTATCCGAGTTTGTGTGTTATCATCATCATCTTTTCCCGTTCGTGGCCAAAACACATGGGACAGATGAAATAGTTTCATGTTTCAGATACCTCGGCATAATAATGGTGTTGCTGGCATTACGCACCGCCGTTTTTTCCCCTAACATTTTGCATTTTTCTGTGTGCGCAAATTTCTGTTTGCGCTTTTTTTCCGTTGCGCTTCTTTCTGGGAACCGATGGTCAGATAGTTAATTGTAAGACAGCTAATGGTAAGGTGATGGTCCGACAGCTCATGGCCAGACAGTTGATACAGAGATAGTTAATGGTTAGATGATAGTCAGACAGTTAATGGTCAGAAATATTCTTGTTGATGTCAATATTTATTATAATTAGTTTGATAACACGCATTAATTATAATTCAGTTACCAATCATAATTATTAAAAAAGTGTATACCTTTATTTTTCAACTCATTACAAACGTTTCAAACCACATCGTTCATTTTCAAAATGTAATTTTTTATATTTCCTATATCCCAATTTTTTATTAATACAAACATAAAAATGTGTGAACTTTCTATTTTTTAACAGCGTGACGTTGAATTTTATATATAATTTTAGAATTTGACTTGACTTGTCATTTTTTTTTACTTTTTTTTTATTCCTATGAGTTTTTAAAAGTAGGTTATTACTTTTATTATATTTTACTTTCATTTAATCATAACTAACCTTGTCAGTCTTGCTTTCCTTGTATTTTAAACTCTTGTTCATTACAATAATAATAATAAAATTACATATCGAGCTAGTGTAATACATAAATTGGAAGAACATTACTTGTTATTGCATGTACAAGCAAAAATATACATTGTAATAAGTCTTGTTTTGTTTTAAAGATAGATTAAATTATTTAGCTATTTCATAATAACTATAATTGGGCTACATCCAAAAATAGTTTAGGTCTAGATTTAAGAGTGTCGTAGAGAAAACATTTGCACGTTAGTCTAATTAAATCGTGGCAATTAAAGTTAAAATTGCTTTTACCTCATACTCGTCATACGTTTCTTGAAGCTTACTGTTTCTTTCATGATTCGTCATTGTTCAAAAATGCCAAGTGAAATTTCAACCACTTCTAACCGATCAATTTATTTGAAACTTGGAACGTAGGTCAAGATTATGCAGCATGCAATCTGAAATCAAATATGTTTAGACGCTTAATTAGTTAAATATGATGTAAGTAATATGTTCGTATAAATTTTAGGCCTACAATTTATAGCTCTATTATATGCATATCACAAGATTTTATTTAACTTGCTTGCTCTGTTGAAACGCTCTAGCGTAATTTCGAGCACTTCTAACTGACAGATTGATTTTAAAGTTGGCACGTCAAATTTGACTTAATTTATTAATTTTCTCCTTTTTGTTGCACTGTTATATCAAAGCTTGTTATTAGATGATTTCTTAGGTAATTTCTTTTTGACTTTAGTGCATAATTATTTTAAGTCATGCAAATCTATAGTATTAAATATGTTAAAGTACTTTAAATACTTATTCATTCTTAAATAATTAAAGAATTGCATTTATTTTATTCTTTTTATTGCAAGTGGAAAATAAAATAATTATAAACTATTTTATAATAAGAAGCATTCAAATGTTACAAATTAACTAAATTTAACAAAAAAACATGCTTTCTTTAATTAAACGTTTTGACTTCAAAATAATTTATAGATTAAATACGCTTCAATTTTTTACTATTAAAGAAAGCAAGTTTGTCTTATTTCAAGTGCATTTAAATATCTTGTTTTTTGTTTATTTTACTCCTTTTTAAGGGTCCATGTGGAGGGGGAGGGGGGGGGGATTCATAACCCCTTACCCTAGCCACGTCAAAGCTAACGTAATAAAAAAATTAAATTAGCCTATTTAATAATTTAATAGTGCTTTCTTACATCTTCAATTCAGAGTGATCAGTGCAAGCAATGCGTCAGACATTTTGTCAATTTCTATTGTGGGTGTTTCTAACCCACTAAACACATCTGAGCTATAGCTATATATATATATATATATATATATATATATATATATATATATATATACAAGTAAGCATTCAGACACATCTTTAACAAGATGACCTGACAGCAAGTACTGCTAGCAAGATGGCGTCCGTCACATTATATATTTTTAGAAGTACACAGATGAACTGCTTCCGTTCAAGTAGCAAGTAACATATTGATAAGCTCTACTATTTAAAATTTTAAAAATACACACACAATTCAACATAAACTTACCTTATGTCTTTTAATACACTTTTGTAAGTTGGTTATGGCTCTTGGTCGATTGGTTTACCACAGACATTTAGGCTACATGTTTAACATCATAGTCCCATTCTAGGAAGTATAAAGTAAAACTTGGAATTTGGAATTTCCATAACAATTATGCCAACATGGCAAACGCATTCCATTTTCAGACAAACAATGCCTATTTAAGTAAGTGTGTGCATTATTTTGTTCAAGCACACGTGTATGCCAATTTAAATATCAAAGAGATACTGCTATTAAAAATAAATATATTATATATATGAACATTTATGAACATTTAAATACATGTTTAACAAGGTGAACTGACAGCAAGTAATGCTAGCAAGTTGGCGTCCGTCACATTATATATTTTTCAAAGTACACAGATGAACTGCTTTCGCTCATGTAGCAAGTAACATAGTGATAAGCTCTTCTATTTAATTTAAAAAAAAATATGAACAAAATTTAAAAATACTTACATTTTTTTCTTGAAATAAACGTTTGTCAATTGGTTATGCACTTGATCGTTTAGTTTAGCTATGGCGTTTAGACTGCCTCTCAAACTTCACAGATCCATTCTAGGAAGTATAAAGTAAAATTTGGAATTTCCGTAACAAGCATGCAAACATGGCGAATTCAGTCCGAGTTCGTAACAACAAGGCTTTTTAAGGAAGTGCACATGTAGGCCTCTTAAAACATCTTAAAGATACTCTTGCTAAGAATAAAACGAATATTATTATACATATATATATATATATATATGTAAATATATATATATATATATATATATATATATATATATATATATATATATATATATATATATATATATATCGTCCCCCTAGTATTATCTTGTTCTATCTCCCAAAATGTAGTTTTGAGAAAAACGCATTTGAAGTTTCATGGGGTCTGATTTCCCTATTACATATATTTTAAACTCATTTATTTTTTGATAAAATGTTAAAGGGCATTAAACAATGAGCATTGATGCTATTTTTATGACTTTATGTAGCAATAGAAGCCCAAAATAATTATTTTTCACTTTTGAGATAGAACAAAATACTATCAACTAGATCAGGGTAAGAAAATTGTATAATGTTCTAAGTAAAATTTCGTTTTTTACAGCCAGTTTCAATAGTGTAATGCACTTTTTTATGAGTAATAATAAACTTTTGAAAGAGTAATATCTTCTTTTTGTAAATCTGACTGTCCTTGGTCATTAATTTTCACTTTTTATCACTTCCATGGCAAAATGTATATATTAGAGTACATTACATGACATGTAATGTTTTTACAGTTCTTTATAAGTGTGTTTGTGCATTAAAATGTAAAGTTTATTCTGTAACTTTGGGTTATATGCATACATTAACATAATTTGATTTAGTCAGTGGCGAGTCTAGTTAGGGTGACACTCGGTGTGGTAACTGAGGGTGTCAACCCTCCACCTTCTTACAATTTTACATTTTTGGTTTTGCGTCACCCCTCTACCCTATAATTTTATTTTAAGATTAACTGGATAAAGAATTATATTGACTGCAAATTTTAGTGTTTTTCACATTGGTGTCGCCCTCTAAATGGCGTCACGTGCGGATCACACCAAGCCCCGAGCATTGTGATACAACTGGAATTAAATTATTAATACAATAAATGCAAAACTCAGAAATTAGCTTTAAAAATAATGTATTAATTTTACACAATATACACAGTTCCTAATGCAAAAACAACCAATCTTGTAATTGAATATTGAGAATATACATAAACACTGTTTCTTTTCTCATAACGATGCTGCGCAACTTGAATACAGGCAGCGCCAATACCCATATCATTACCAGGTCTTTGTTGTTTTCATTGTTCTCTTTCGCACTTCTCTGCGGATAGAAATAAAGATAGACTACATCAGTACAAAGTGCAAAAACAGAAGGACTTATTCCCCCCCCCCCTCTGCTACACTTATACCAAACTGAAAACCAAGAATAAACATATTCATAGTATTAAGACTAACAAATTAATTACTTCACATTTTGATCTGTAACAAAGACATTGTTTTCATCATCCATATATTGGAACACTTTCTCATTATGATTTTGATAATATAAATACAAATAAACCCTACAG